CCACAACCAACCTCGACATTCCATCAAGGAAACACTTCAAGGCGCAACGATGTCCCGTCAGCAAGCGAATGGAACTGTTTTGACTTCTGTATCTTCACAGAAAACTCAAGTCCAAGCAAGGGAAGTGCTGTCATCATGCGAGACATCACTACCGTCTACCTGCCAAAGCCTCTGCGCGGCTTGCAAAGCTCGCCAGTGACCCAACCGCCAATACCAAAATCTGAAATCCCTCAAGCTAGAGCCAAAACAAAGAACTGAAGCGTGAACACCCTCGCCCCCCAATTCCCAAAACCGACGAAACTCCTCCAAAACCCTACACCCCAGCCACACACACACACAAAAAAAAAAAAAGTGAAGGTTTGGAATCTTTCTTTGCTGCTCCTTGCGCTTTTCTAGGGCCTGGGCTGGAGGGCCCCATGGAGCTGCACGGCATTGATCCGACCATCCTCATGACGGTTTGGGGTTTAGGGCCTTTGTTGGTTTAGGGTTTAGGGGTTTAGTGTTTAGGGGTTTACAGAAACTGTTAAGGGTTTGGGTGCGCTAGTTTTGACCGAAAGTTTTGCATTTTGGAAGCTGATTTTGGATTTGGGGCTGGGCTGGGCTGGCCGGCGGGGGCTCGGGCCTGGGGCTGGGGCTGGCGGGTGGCCAATAAGGGTTCTGTGGGGGATGGGAGTGTGGGGCTGGACTGGGCAGGCGCGGATATCGCATTTGTTCAATAGCTCTACAAGGAATCGTTCTCAGGGGGTTCGTTTGCAAGGGCCTTTTGGGCCTATCAAAGTGTCTGGGGGCTTTCGGCTTTGGAAAAGGCTCTTGCCTCCCCTCCCCTCCCTGCCACTCCGGGCCCCAGCCACGCCCCACTGCAATGGGTCCTTCTTGGGGTTTAGGGATGTGTTTTGTCGAGGGCGAGGGCGGAGGGGTGGTGTAGGTTTGACGGCACCCAAAGCGTTTACAGGCTTAAGGTTTTCAATTGAGGAGGTGCAGGTTGAATGGCCTGTGGGCCTTTGAGGGCGGGGCAAAAGATGCGACTTGCAACGCAAGACCTGTGCAGCTTGCAGATTAGGGCGTTAGAGTGGTTTAGGGCCCATATGGTTTACCTCCTGAGTAGCCGCTCAATACGGTTTTAGTACGGATACTCAGAAAGAGAGTTGCGCAGGGGTACCCCTCTCCCTAAGCTATCCGGCTTAAGGCTTTGAGTCTGGGGATTAGGGCTTAAAGCTTGGGTTGTTGTTATTGTTTGAGGATTTAATCGTTAAGGCTCCTTTTTTTGAGGGGTCTGGCCTTCGAGGCTTCAAGGCTCTCTTTGTTCGGGCTCGGGGCCTACAGTAGACGCTTCTGGAGAATCTTTTACGCCCCTCTGGATGATCCCAAGCCCACTTCAGAAGCCCAACACAACAACCCCCAAAACCCTAAGCCCTGTAAACGCTTCACCCTTAACCCCTAAACCCCCAAAACCCTCAGCCCTATTTATAAACCCTAACCCCTATGAAATCCTCCAAGTTTCAACATGCACAGCCGAGCAGAACCCTCCAAGCTCCAGTAAACGGAAGCAAAACTCCATGACACCCTGTAAGCCCCGGTAAACGCCTACCAAACCACCCGTTTTAACCCCCAGTCAACCCCCATGAAACACAAGACCCTAAACTCCAAAGCCCCAAAACCCTAGAGGCCTAAAGCCCTAAACCACAAACCTCTGGAGCCCTAAAGCCCTAAACCCTCAACGGCTCCTCCAGCTGTGGGATGGCATCCAGAAGCGAGCCAAAGTCCATGGAGCCCAAGGCCACCTAAGACAGGCCCACATTTGCGAGTCACTAAGGGCTTTCGAATAGATTTCCATTTGTTTGAAAAGGGCTGCTTAAGGGGTTTGATGAGAGACTTGCCCAGTTTTGTAGCAGGGTTGGTATCAGAAGCTGCGAGTTCAAGCTAATTTATGCGGTTAGTCTTGTTGAGCGGCGGGACGCGGGGTGGAGCGTCGTGTTGCGAGGACAAGCCCGTGCTGAAAGGATCGGCCCCACCCCCCTGCACGACAATCCTCTGTAAACTTGTACGGAAGCCATCCAACACACTGCCTAGACCAGCGAAGTAAAATCCGCGCAGCAACTGCCTTCAGCATGGAATCAAGGGGCAGGTGGCCCTGAACCCCGACAACCCACTGACGAATCTAAACCTGCAACCCCCCGAAACCTGAACAACGCTAAACCCTGAACACCCGTAAGCCGGGCAAGATAAGAATAACTAAACCCCAAACCAACGGCCCACCTGAAGGAAGTCGCCCTGGGAGCACAGGGACGCCTGTGTTGAAGGAACGGAGACTCTGGGCACTCGGGCCCTTGGCTAAGGTCGATTTCTTCTTGTGGTCCACAATTAGAGGCCGGCATGATTGGATCGAGGGGGGGGGGTCTTTAGACCGTCATAAACTTGTGAACCCTAAGGACCACTGTGGCTAGTTCTTCAGGCTGCTACAGCACATGAAGGCGTTGCGTTCAGGCGTACACGGTTGCAATGATACACAGAGGACAGCAAAGTTCAAACGACACGTAGATAAAGAGGCACTGAGAGGCAGAGAGTGGCCATTGGGTGTTTGGTGTGGCTTTGAGACGTTCAGGACTGCGAGTCTCAGGCTGTGAGGTCACGGACTCGGGCGACTCCAGTCCAAGCACTGCTTGTGGCGGCAGTCATGAGAAGCAAAGGTCGAAGTTCAATACTGTCCTGCGACAAGCCCTGCCTGCTCGCCATGCTCCAACACGGCCCGGGCATGTTCACGCACGCGCCTGCGAGATAATCAACGTGAGGCAAGCGCATGCGAGAGAATCAACATGAGAGGCAATGGGTCAGCGAGGTTGCAAAGCAGGGTGGAGTTTCAAAAGCTCGGCAGGTTCACTGAACTTTGCGAACATATAGACTAACTCCTGTGGTAACTACCACTGTCACTTCGCATCATCACCCGTGCTAAACAGGGTGAACATGCGCGACTCAGATGCTACAACTCCTCAGGGGATCAGGCTTTCATTACAAATGTAGGTTGTAGGGCAGTGAATATAGAAGTTACTTTGTTCCGTAGATCCCCTGGTCCTCCACTCACACGATGAGGCCTGCATGGTCTTATCGGATCAGGCCCTGCGCACTAAATCCTCAAACTCAAAGGCGCAAACATAACTCAACCCTCGGGCTCGGGGTTTTCGGTGTCTCTCGAGTTGAAGACGGGTTTGGAAGACTGAGGTGATTTGGAGTTGAGGGTTTCGGGGCATCCGTTGACGGAAGTCATGAGGGTGGAGGACTTAGGTGCTTTCGGCTTCGGAGTTGTAAACTCAAAAGCACGAGAATTGAATCACCACCCTTGGCCGCGTACACTCAGTTCTGAACCCCATCCGATACCCCCTTGGGTTTTTGGTTGGTTGGAAAACCTATACGTTTCAGAACCCTGAATGCCACTGGTCAAGCGGAAAGACTGTTTTTAGTGCGCATTCGCGCACAAGTGGTGTATCGTCGCGAACTCTCATGAAAAAAACGGGTTCTGACATCATCAAAGCCTGACTCCCAAACCCCAAACCCCCCAAGCAGGCTTTAGGATTCAGGGTTTGAGGGGGTTAGCTCCCAAGCAGGCCAAGGAGCTTCATGTACGGTGCTTTGAGAAGGTTGTCATAGGGATCTAGCTGGAAGCACTGGGCAAGGACCTCGGCTTGCAGGAAACCATAATTGGAATAAGGGGACGTGGGGAGAGAGCTCCATTACGTCGCGGGGGAAGGGAAACATCCAACAACCACAAACAGTAAACAACAAACGCACGCCAACTATTCGTAAGTATAGCTACCTCACATATAGCTGTGCGCACAACAAATGACTCAACTTAATTGCAGCAGTTTCGTAAAGAGGCCTGTACCCGAAGCAGTAAGTAAACCGACCAGCATATGGGAGCCTCCACGTTAGTGGTAGGATTCGAAGTGCTAGGGACTCCCACAACAGAAGCCTTGAATTCCAAAAAACCCTAGACCCGTACCCTAAACCCCAGGCCAAACCCGGAGTTCTCAGAAACCCCATGTGCTACTTCGTAAACCGAAGGGCCCGACACAACCCTCCTGAGGCGAAGTTGCGTAAAGAGTTCCAGCTTAAAGAGCTCTTTTCAGGGAGTCACAACAGACACAGTCCACACTGAGATCTTCTAGTTTCTAGTTGGCCTTCCTATTTACTTCAGGGCTAGGGCTGAAACCGCGAAGCTCTGAACCTTAATTAAACCCTGTCGCCCTACAGCCCTAAAAGCGCTCGAGCGAATTGAGGGCAAAGCGTTGATGTCCACGTCGGAGGTGAGGCACATCAGTCCCACAGCTCGACCGTCCACCTCAGGTGGGCTGTCAGGTCTAGATCTTTGGGTTTCAGAGTTTGGGTGTGCTGGGTTTTTGGATTTCGGATTTGGGGTTGACGGTTTTGTGGTTTCCAGATCGGCGGTAGGGCTTGGGGCTTCCAGTGCCTAGGGTGGGCTTGAAGGCTTCTAAAGCCTTTCACAGGGTTTCTCCTGGCTTGCGGGTCGAAGGCTTCCAGGCTTTGGGGTACCCGGTGTTGGGGTTTCCCCTGGCCTCTTCGATTCGATTCCAGTCTGTGAACCGCCGAAGCAGCCCAAAGCTGAAGCCTCCAGTTCTATGATGCACAACCCCCCGTGCTCCGGGCCCTTTCAGAATTAACAGGGAACCCACAAAGCAACGCGGGGCCCGCCTCGGCCACCAGTGCGCGGTTCTCGTCGTTCTGCGCCTCAGCGCCGCGATTGGTTTGAGCAGCTCCAACGGGGCTTCCGGTATTAGTTCAGGCTTTGGGGTTTTAGGTTTAGGGTTCGAGGCTTAGCGTTGACGGTGTAGGGTTTAGGGCTAAGTCCTAGAGAAGCCGCGATTCAACCTGCAGCCAAGCACTTTGACGATTGCCTTGCCTTCCTGAAAGTTGTCTTTGCAAAAGACAGGAGCGTGGAACTGAGCTAGCAGCCCACGTCGGCAAACCAATTTCCAAGAGAGTGTTGGGGTGCAGTATCCACATAAGCCCCAGAACCCATGTTGATACCTCCTTGAACCCTCATAGTCCCCCTTATGTGGAAGTTTCAAGACACCCGACCCGAATAATCCTGAACAACATGAACCCCTCAAAGGGCCCCTGCTACATACCAACCCCTCTCGTAGAGCTCGAAGGGCCTCAACGAGCTCCGCAATAAAGAAATCGCCGTAAACCGCGGTCACGACCTCGGCAGGTTGAGAGCTAAACAAAAAAGTTCTATATACATATATAAATAGATAGGTAGACAGATAGATAGATAGATAGATAGATAGGTATATGTATACATCTATATATACATATATATATATATATATGTATACATATACATAAGCATAAACATAAACATATACATTGCATATGCATATACATATACAGATACAGTCATGTACATATACATATACCGATACATATACATATACATATACATTTACATCTACATATACATCATATACGCATACATATGCATATACACAAGCAGATACATATGCCTATGCAAATTCATTTACATATACATACATATACATATGTATATATATATATATATTATGTAAATATATGTAGAAATGGTGCTTGGGGTGAGATTGTGGTTTTACTGTCAGCGCTCCTCGCTCAACCCATGCACAGCATTCGATATATATATATATATATGTATGCATGAAGTGGGTTTTGGACTAGTCTCTCCAAAAGAAAACCCAACTTCACCGTCAGCAGCATTGCTCAGGAGATCTGTATACACTAACCACTTTACGAAACTAAAGACAGCCTTGTGGATGGAAGACAGCCAGTGCTATACGAACCGAGAGGGAGAAACTATCCCGGAGCAACTAAACACGACAACCAAAGCCTCAAAGCCCAGAATCCCAAATCCCAAGTCCTAAGCCCTGCCGGCAAAGTCACGGGAGGTCTCCGAAGCCAGAAAAGTTCTGAAAACCTAAGGCCCCCAAAACCACAACCAGAGCCACCAGCCCAAAAACAACCAAAATCCATAGCACTCAGCGAACCAACCTCGCTTTGGGCGTCGAAGACTGCTGCGAGGTTGTCGTGATCCTCGCTTCACAGCTGTTTGCTGCTTTATGGTCCGTTTCACCGCGCCTCCTGAGAGCTGCGGAGTGCTCGATGTGGTACATAGGGGCCCTAATAAAGAATTCCAGTCGGATTTTGGTGTGTATTCCCCGGCTATGGAAACCCCACAAAATACACACAGAATCGATGTTGCTTCAGGCTGGCAATGCTTATGTGGCTTATGCCTTCAAGTCTGCAGCAAGGCGTAATGGTGCAGAAAGTATCAGAATCGGCCCTTTCCTGCTGCTTGAACGGCGCACGCCTAGCAGCCTTACGTTGATGGTTGAGAACATGCTGACAAGTCGTGCTTTGCACTCGTGTGCTGGAAAGCGGTGTTTGGCCATCGCGCGGAGGGGGAGGCCCTTGCTCAACAAAGCTGTGTATGATGGCGAAGAAGATGCAGATACTGAAGATGATTCTCAGCATCATCAGAAACATCTTCATCATCAGTCTCATGACCCTCGTCTGCTACGTCGTCGCGGTCGTCGTGATCGCCACCGCCGTCGTCGTCGGCGTCGTCGTCGTCGTCGTGGCGAAAGGCATTCGCGACAGAGTTGCCAGCTACCAGCACTGATCCTGACACAGATGCAGATGCTGATGCTGGCAACAGTTTGAGCAACACTAGAACAGAAAGGCCCTGAATCACCCTTCGTGTCGCCGCAGACAGAATGATTCACGCACAAGAACAGCCCAAAGAAGCACGCGCCAAGTGCCAATCCAACGTCAAGCCTAAACCACTGAAGCCCGTCAACGAGCTCCGCCTGGAGTCTTAAGCGACTTGAAAGGCGCCTTTCGTAACTTGTAAAGCCATCCTCACCCGGAGCTCTGCCCTCCAAAGTGCCTCCACTCGAGCGATGCGGATGCCCAGAGGTGCGATGACCTGATGGAGGAGGAGACGGAGGAGACTTCGACGCTCCGGATCTTGCGGGCCTTTCATGACTACTCCCTATTTAAAGGATGGCCCTCCTCCTCAAGTCATTCATGAAGGGGCCTGCACAGTTAGAACGGGGCTTTCCGGTACATTCGAGCACACTTCTATAGGGACTCTGAGGGCGTGTTCTTTTTTGATCACTCAGACCCCCCATACTGCGCCAAAGAAGGGTGTTTAGGACGGAGGGCCGGGCCTCTGGGGGCTTATGTGCTTTGGTTGCTGTCGCTTAAGGTTGCTGCACCGTCCTCTACTATAACATACCGAAATATACTCTATTACACTACACTATATATATATATATATACATACATACTAGGTTATAGCTTCAGACCCGGGATGTTGCGCAGGGCTCAGGGCTCAGGGTTTAGGGTTCAGAGAAAAACCCCTAAGCCCTAAACCCTAAGCCCTAAGCCCTAAACCCTAAACCCACCCCTAAACCCTAAACCCACCGCTAAACCCTAAACCCTACCCCTAAACCGTAAACCCCTAACCCCTAACCCCTAAACCCTAAACCCCTAAGCCCTAACCCCTAAACCCTAAACCCTAAACCCTAAACCCCAAGCCCTAACCCGTAAACCCTAAACCCCAAGCCCGAAACCCTACCCCCAAGGACTTCAGCGCGGAGAGTCCAAGGCCCTGCCTGCGAGCGGTTGCAGCAGAGAACCATCGGAGGATGGCCCTCGGGACCTCAAGGAGCAGGGTTTAGGGCTTAGGGCTTAGTAGGGCTTAGGGTTT